GGTCTCAAACTCCCGACCTCAGCTGATCCACACACCTTGGCCTCCCAAAGTGCTGGGATTACAGGCGTGAGCCACCATGCCCAGCCTAATTTATTTTTTGTAGAGATGAGGGTCTTGCTATATTGACCAGGCTGGTCTCGAACTCCTGAGCTCAAGCAATCCTCCCACCTCAGCCTCTCAAAGTCCTGAGATTACAGGCATGAGCAACTGCACCCAGCTAGGACTTCACTGCCTTTTGCATTATATTATAGGTCACTTATTTTCTTTCTTTTCTTTTCTTTTTTTTTGAGATGGAGTTTCACTCTTGTTGCCCAGGCTGGACTGCAATGGCGCAATCTTGGCTCACCACCACCTCTGTCTCCCAGGTTCAAGCAATTCTCCTGCCTCAGCCTTCCGAGTAGCTGGGATAACAGGCATCCGCCACCATGCCTGTCTAATTTAGTATTTTTAGTACAGACAGGGTTTCTCCATGTTGGTCAGGCTGGTCTCACACTCCTGACCTCAGGTGATCTGCCCGCCTTGGCCTCCCAAAGTGCTGGGATTACAGGCATGAGCCACCGCACTTGGCCCACTTATTTTCTTAACAGCGGCATGAAATGAACCAGGGGCATCATCTTCCTTTGTAACATCCATGGCATCAATAACAATAAGTGGAATCCACGATAGTAAAATAAAATTTAATTAAAAGTCCTGGCTAGGCTGGATGTGGTGGCTCACATCTGTAATCCTAGCACTTTGGGAGGCTGAGAAGGGAGGATTGCTTGAGACCAGGAGTTTGAAACCAGCCTGGGCAGCATAGTGAGACCTCATCTTTAAAAAAAAAAAATCCTGGCCAGGCACAGTGGCTCATGATTGTAATCCCAGCACTTTGGGAGGCCAAAAACAGGACTGCTTGGGCCCAGGAGTGCAAGACAAGCCCTGGCAACACAATGAGACCCTGTCTCTACAAAAAAATTTTGAAATCTAGCCAGGTGTGGTGGTGCACACTTGTAGTCCCAGCTACTCAGGAGGCTGCAGTGGGAGGACTGTGTAAGCCTGGGAAGTTGAGGCAACAGTGAGCATGGTTGCACCACTGCACGCCAGCCTCGGCAACAGAGCAAAATCTTGTCTCCAAAATAAATAAACAAACAAATAAACCCAACAACAACAAAAAACAACACCTATATTTTAGAGTAAGAAGAAAAGTAATATACTGCTCATGAGATGCTCCATTTTCCTAAACTTTGATATTCTTCTAGATTGGTAGATAAAACCAAGGTAAGGCAAAAATACGGAGTTAGAAAGTTGCAAAGGAAGCAAGAAAGGACCTAAGAACGATGAACTTTTCAAATATTTTTGTAAAGTACTATATTTATTATTTGCCTAAATTGTTTACTTATTTCCAGTTTTCTACCCAAACTAGAAAACGTTCCCAGTGGCTCACGCCTGTAATCACAGCACTTTGGCAGGTTGAGGCAAGCGGATCACCTGAGTTTGGGAGTTGGACACATGCCTGACCAACATGGAGAAACCCCGTCTCTACTAAAAATACAAAATTAGCCAGGTGTGGTGGTGGGCACCTGTAAACCCAGCTACTTGGGAGACTGAGGCAGGAGAATCCCTTGATCCCAGGAGGCAGAGGCTGCAGTGAGCTGATATCGCACCATTGCACTCCAGCCTGGGCGACGAGAGCAAAAGTCCGTCTCAAAAAGAAAAAATAAAAAGAAAACCTTCCCAAATCACTTTTATTCCCTGTGCCACAAAAGTCAGCACTCCAAACTTAGACACAGCATATTCCTTACTATATTTACCTACTAATAAACAACTAATAAATGAGGAACAGAAAGTAAATCAAACACACATACAGGTTAGTATAAATTTGGTTCTGGGGTGTGGGATTACACAAATCTTCTTAAATTCCATTTCAGCTCTAAGAACAACATAAAAGACAGGTTTTGTGGAACTTTCTAAACACGTAAGTTTTTCTAGACAGGGTTGGCTGGGTCCAGGGTATTCAGTGCCACCATGAACAGATAAAAATCCAAGCCCAGGGTGAACATAACTCTAAATTACCAAAATGAGGCACCATCTGGAGCCATGCCAGATACTTAAAAGTCCCTGCTTCAGGCTGGACAGACAACAACGAGCTTCTGCAGAAATAGAACCCATTTCTGAAGTATATATCAAGCCAAAATGACCCAATTATCAATGTGACAGGGAAAAGCAAAGGGAAATAAAAATAGAAGTTCTAGTACAGTACCAAGAACTAAAAAGTCTTCCCTAGAAATGAGTTGCTAAAGTGACACTCATCATTTATTATGCTATCTAGTACTTTTATTTCCTGTCAATCTGGTATCTAAGTATTTAACAATGCAATACTAATTTTTTTCTGGACTTTTATCTTTACATTGGTGATATATATCTCAAAGGCATAAATGAAAATTTAAAAAATATCACCATGTACAAGAACTTATTCCCTTACCTAAAAAAAAAGAGACTTCAAGTTTTATCTTGTAACTTTACTTCTAAATAATGTCTATACAAGTTTAAGCAGCTAAGAAAGGGTTTAGATACCTCAGATATCCACTGGTAAAATCTACCTCCCTAGCTTCACAAATATAATTCAACAAATATAATTCCTTTTAATCTTACACTGAACAAGAGTAACAAAATAGGAAGCTTGTTTGTTTGTTTGACAAGGGTGTGGGTAACTATCCTGGGCAGTCACCTAAGGAAATCCACCAACTGGAGTGTCTCATATTCTCGTGTGAAACATTCAAGAAATAATCTAATCTCTTCAAATTTAGCTCCTCTTTTCCATGGGCTTTATTAAAAAAAAACAAACATATATATATACATACACACATATATGTTTAAATGTCTACTTTGTTTGGATGCTATGTGTTCCTAAGAAACATTTTTTCTTTTTTTTTTTTCTACTGGTACAATACACTAAGCTTACTTAGATTTCACCAGCTGTGTATGTACTCATCCCATGTGCTTTTGTGGTCTGAAGTCATCACTTGGAGGCACCAATGGAAAAGAGCAGTGTCAGAGGACTGGGATTCCTCTACTAGCTGTATGACCTTGAGTAGGCCACTTTAACTTATAAACAGAAAGTAATATCTGCCCTGATACATGATAGCCAATTATTTCACTTATATAAAAACTGAATATCTACTATATATTTATGAGATATGAGGAAAGATCCTGCTTGCTGCTTTGCCATTTTTTCCCCTTAAGAAGCCTGGTGGTAAAGAGCACAGGTTTTAGAACCAGGAGTCCTGCGTTTCTTGAATTCTAACTCTGTTGCTTGTTAGCTGTATGATTGTAGGCAAGTTACTTAATCTCCCTGCCTTCCATTTCCTTGTATACATGAGACAATTCCCACCTCAGAGGATTGTTGTAAGGATTAGATGAGGTAGTTCAATGAGCATTCATCCAACGTATATTTATCTAGGAACCATTCTGCCTACTGCTATACTGGTTAAAAATCCCCTTGTCCACTATATATGTGCCATACATTGCTAGCCCCCAGGAATTAAAAAAGACAATATAGACAATATAGTAAAGCGACATTATGGCAAGAAAATACTAACTTTTCTACCCATGTATCTTCTTGGAACCAATAATACAAATCTGACTTGTTTTTGTGAACTGTTACAAATGAATCTACAAGACTGAATCCAAGTGCAAATAGGTCTTGATTTAGATGGTATTTCTGAATAGTACGTTTCAAGGTTTTTATTTATTTTTTTTTGAGACAGAGTCTCGCTCTCCTGCCCAGGCTGGAGTGCAGTGGCGCGATCTCGGCTCACTGCAGCCTCAGCCTCCTGGGTTCAAGGGATTCTCCTGCCTCAGCCTCCTGAGTAGCTGGGACTACTGGTGCGTGCCACCAAGCCCGGCTAATTTTCTTGTTTTTGGTGTATTTTTAGTAGAGTCGGGGTTTCACCGTGTTAGCCAGGATGGTCTCGATCTCCTGACCTCATGATCTGCCCGCCTCGGCCTCCCAAAGTGCTGGGATTACAGGCGTGAGCCACCGCACCCGGCCTGCACGTTTCAAGTTTAGGTGTTCACCAGTTGACCGTGCCTGGTTGATACACACAAGGTCAAAAATGACACAAAGATCAGAAGTGATGGCATATATCGTACACGACTGTGCAACTAGTATAGGACCTAGCATTGGGTAAATGCTCATAAATATTAATTTAAAAAATTAAGTTTGGTTTCCAACTTTGCCACTTCCACACCGAGTGACTCTAGGTTTAACTTGTCTGGATCTTAATTTTCGGTAAAATAGAAATGTGTCTGCTTTGCCTATCTCATAGGATAGTTGTGATCAAATGAAATTACATGACAATGTATCTGGCGCTAATAAAACGGTAATTTATGAGACACAGATTGACTACTGACACCAGCTAGCCTACAAGCCTAATAGTAAAGATAAGATGTTAATACATAACTACCAGGAAATAAACATGGAGATCTCGTGAAAACCCATGACATGTTTTCTAAAAATGTCATCTTCCTTGTGACGAAAGGAGCTGGTCATTGCTAGGCAGGTGCTGTGCCTTTTTCAACCTCCACGTTTCAGCAGCAGGCTCTTCTGAGTGAGATTTTGCAAGGCTGAGGCCCCCGTAGGCGCAGCCGCCGTTGGGGTGCGCATCCGGCAACCTGCAGTTTACAAGCAGCGGATCCCACCTTCAGTACTGGCTTTGACAAGCCCTCCAGGTAACGTGCCTTTGCATTTAGCCGACCTAGAGAAGAGAGCTGGAAGCCAGCTCTACCTTTCACGGGGGGGAAGGGACTGCCCACCCGCTCGCCCCCATCACCTCGGCCCTCCGGAGCGCGCCGCGGACTTCAGCCTTGTCTCTCGCCCCTGCCTCACCGCACGTCCCTGACCCGCGAGTCTCCCGCCTAGCTCCGCGTCCCAGGTCCCTGCCTCCGGGCACGTACACGACGCGCTAAGAGGCGCGGGGAGCTCTTAGCGCGCCTGCTACTTAACCCGGCCGGCTACCTACCGGCCGTCAGGCAGAAGCCTGCGATTGAGCTGGCCGGGCCTCCCAGCACCGCCGCTCTCCAGGCTCCCTTTCGAGGACTCGACTTTGGTCCGAGCCCCAACCGCAGGTCGGGTAACCTTTCCAGGAATCCAAATGGAAGGCGAAGCGGAGAGACGAAGAAGAGCGCGGGGCGGAGCGGGGCGGGGCGGCAGTTTGGACACGCCCCGAGCTCGCCTCGGCTCTTCCTCCCCCTCAGAATGGGAAGCGCCTACTGAGGGAGAAGGCTCCCTCGCCCTGCTGCCTCCTTTCGCCCTGCGCTGTCCGGCCTTCCGCGTGACCCCGCCTATGACCTCGGGGCGTTCCGCTCACGTCCGACAGTCAGGTGCGCACGCGCACTTGCAGGCTTGTTTTGCCAGCTTCACGCCACCCAGAATGTGAGAAAGCAGGTGTCGCGAGAGTTGGGCGCAAGACGCCTTTTAGGGACTGTAATTATGGCGGACCTGCGGATCGAAGGTGAACGGGAGCCGCTGTTAGGCGACACACCTGGAAGCAGGTGAGCGAATCCTGGTAGAGGGACCCCTCAGCCTCCTGCGCTGTTGGGACTGGCTCCTTTCCGGGCGTCACCCGCACTGGGACGAACCCTCGCCGCCAGAGGGGTGCCAGCGCGGTAGGAGCCGGTGGCCGGGTTGTGTGAGCCGAGGAGATTCGCTCCCAAGGTAAGATAAAGGGCATCTGGCCGCACCTTGCGATGATGAGCCGGTGGGTTCGAGTGACGGGCCGGAGAAACCCAGGCTGCTGCTTTGCCTGTTGCAGCAGCCAAGCCACCACATTCTGTATCTTCAGAATTCTATATTTGGCTCTTTGTAGCTGATCACTTTACACATTTCACAGTTCCAAAATGATGGATTTAATCGATGCTTGAAGTTATCGGTCTTAATAATGACCTGCTGCCTGACTGCCTGACAACGTCTTTGAAGGAGTGGCCTGCCCCTCCACATCTGTGGGCGTTTCTCCTTAGGTGGAACCAGAGACTTGAGAAAAGAAATGAGACACAGAGACAAAGTATAGAGAAAGAAAAGATGGGCCCAGGGGACCTAAGCTGGCACCGGTCTCTGAGTTTCCTTAGTATTTATTGATAATTATCCTTACCGTCTTAGAAAAAGGGAAGTGACAGGATAATAGGATCATCATAGGGAGAAGGTAAGCAGTAAGAAATGTGAATAAAGATCTCTGTGATATTAGTTTAAGGAAAAGTGCTGTGCCTTGATATGCATATGCAAACATCTCCATAAACCTTTTTAGTGCATAAAGAGCAGCATTGCTAGGAAGTCCCACCTTTTGCCCTAAGGCGGTTTTCTCCTTTCTCAGTAAACAGAACAACAATCTGGTTTTACACCCAGATGTTCCATTGCCCAGGGACGGGCAGGAGACAGATGCTTTTCTCTATCTCAACTGCCAAGAGGCCTTCTTTCCTCCTATACTAGTCCTCCTCAGCACAGACCTCTCACGGGTGTCAGGCTGGGGGACGATCAGGTCTTTCCCTTCCCACGGGGCCATATTTCAGACTATCACATGGGGAGAAACCTTGGACAATACCTAGCTTTCCTAGGCAGAGGTCCCTGTGACCTTTGGCAGTGTAAGTGTCCCTGGGTACTTGAGATTAAGAGAATGGTGATGACTTTTAACCAGTAAGCTGCCTTCAGGCACTTCTTTAACAAAGCACACCCTGCACAGCCCAAAATCTTTTAAACCTTGAGTCACCGCAGCACATGTCTCTTGCAAGGACAAGGTTGGGGGTAGGGTCACAGATTAACAGCATCTCAAATATAGAACAAGGTGGATGTTAGGCAGGAATCTAGACCCAACATGGCGGTGTTACCTGGCATAGCAGGCCTTTTGTTAAAGACTCCCTTCACCCTTGTACACACCCGCAGACTTACATGCGTCAGAGTTCTGGCTGGGCAACCACACTCCCCCATGACCTGCAGCTCACCTGCATTCCACAAGTTCGTAAACAGCAGTTTCAGTTAACAGTTTCCAAAGACCCCTTCCTCATGACCCTTACTCAACTCCTGCCCTAGTAGTTTCAAGACCCCCAAGGCCCTGTTTACACAACCAGCTTCCCTACCTCTCGGGCTATAAAAAGCCCCTACCCTCCTCCCTCAGCGCGACTTCCTCGGCCCGCACCTTTGGACTGAGGAACCTCGCTCGCGAGTCCTAATAAAGGCTATTCTCACTGCCATTTGCCTTGTGTCTTCGTTCCCGGTTCGGCTCCAGCCTCAGTTTACCTTTACATTTGGTGCCGAAACCCAGGAGGAGACCCCTCCCCCGGACCCTTCCTGGGTCGGGCAGGCGCTCCTCTCCCAGAGCGAGGACCTTCTTTCTGAGCCGGGAGCCGTTTCACCAAATCCAAGACTCAATTCAATCACTGCTGTTTTCCCCTGTCCTGTAGGCCCCCTCCGGGAAGTCCTTGTCCAAAACGCATGGCCACGTCAGGGGCTCCCTCAGGTCAACTGTGACCTTGGCACCAGGGACTAGGAGACGTCCAACCTCCCCGGAAGCTGCCATACTCTGCACTCCTCATGACAGTGGGAGGATGCTCCCATTGCCACCGGACTGCCCGCCTTAGGACCATGGGAACTACCCAGTTCAAACCAAACCGAAAATCCCCTCTGAGGTGCCTCTTGGCTAATTTCCAGACTTTAAGTCTCAGCCAAGACCTAAAACAAAAGCGACTCATTTTCTCCTGCATGGTAGCATGACTGCAGTATAAATTGGATAATCAGGCTCAGTGGCCTGCAGAAGGCACTCTAGACTTTAACATTCTCTTGGATCTGACCAACTTCTGCAAGAGACTAGGCAAATGGCACGAGATAGCCTATGTTCAAGCCTTTTGGGACTTGCGTTCTCGCCCAGATGTCTACGCTCAATGCTCGTTAGCTCAGGTCCTACTCGCAAAGTCTCTTCCCTCGAGCAAGGAGAGGGATGATTCCTCCTCTTTTTCTGAGCCTCCTGACACCCTATCCCGGCCACCCCTTCGGTCTCCCACCCAACCTTCTCTTTACCCTGACCCGCCATTATCCCCGTCCTCGTCACTGCCTCCCCTCCCTTCCACCCCTCCTGTGCCCTCGCCAAACCCGACAGATTCTGTCTCCCCCACCTCCACCTCCTCCCCTTGCTCGCCTGTCTCAGCCCATACTCGGTCCAGGACCGACCTCCTGTGTCCCTTGCGAGAGGTGGCAGGCGCCGAAGGAGTGGTCCGGGTCCGTGTGCTATTTTCGCTGGCAGACCTGTCTAAGATTGAAGAGCGTGTAGGCTCTTTCTCGGCCAACCCCACTTAGTATTTCAAAAAGTTGAGATACCTGTGCCAGGCGTATGACCTCACCTGGCATGATCCCCATATCGTTATGACCTCAACCCTGTGCCCTGAGGAACGGGAGCGTATCCTAGTGGCAGCCAGGCAGCACGCTGACCAGGTTCATTTAACTGACCACGCCATGCCAGTTGGCACTGAGGTGGTGCCCTCAGCCGAGCCCAACTAGGACTAGCAGGTTGGTCAGGCAGGCCACCGCCGCCGAGATATGATGGTCCAGTGCCTTCTTGCTGGCATGCAGGCAGCCTCCAATAAGTCAGTCAATTTTAATAACTTAAAGGAGGTAGTCCAAGGCTCAGATGAAAATCCGGCTGTTTTTCTTAACCAACTGACAGAGTCACTTATTCAGTACACCCGCCTTGACCCTGCCTCCCCTGCAGGAGGAGCCATCTTAGTTTCATACTTTATTTCTCAGTCGGCCCCCGATATCCAAAAAATGTTAAAAAAGGCAGAGGACGGCCCTCAAACTCCCATCCAGGACTTAGTCAAACTGGCCTTCAAGGTCTACAACTCCAGGGAGGAAGCAGCTGAGGCCCAATGACAGGCCAGGCTAAAACAGAGGGTATAACTCCAAACCCAGGCCTTGGTAGCAGCCCTGAGGCTGGCCGGCTCCAGGAGCTCCCAGAAAAGAGGTACTACCCGAGCGCCACCTGGTGCCTGCTTCAAATGCAGCAACGCCCCTCTCCGAACTGTTGGCAGATGGGCCACTGGAAGTCAGACTGCCCCGACCTAAGGACGGTCGCTGTGCCTCCACGTGACGACCCTCCTCCAGGTATTGGAGGCGCCTTCCAGCTCCTCGACACCGACGAAGATTGAAGAGGCCCAGACTCGGGAACCCCTCTTACTCTCGCCGAGCCCAGGGTTATGCTTCAGGTAGCGGGTAAGTCCATATCTTTCCTCATGGACACAGAGGCTACCTAGTCTGTTTTGCCTTCCTTTAGTGGCCCCAGCCACCCCTCCACTGTCACGGTCATGGGAATTGATGGCACTCCCTCCACCTACCGCCAGACTCCTCCTCTGTCTTGCCGCTTGGATGGCTCCCTCTTCTCGCACTCATTTCTTCATGCCCAGTCCCCTTGTTAGGAAGAGATCTCCTCTCCAAGCTAGGGGCCTCAGTTCACTTCCGACCCAATCCCTCCCCACACCTCGCATTCCTCTTCCCCCTTCTCTCACCTGACAAACCCCGCCAGGCTGACCCCCCCACTCCCGTTTCCAGTCCCCACTAACCCTAAGGTGTGGGACACCTCCATCCCAATCATTGCCCAGCACCATACTCCGGTCCGCATCCGGCTAAAAGACCCTTCCAAGTTTCCCTCTAGACCCCAGTTCCCTGTCTCCCTTGAACATCGATGGGGATTAAAACCTATCATTACACGCCTGCTCCGACAGCACATTCTAGTTCCCGCCAACTCACCATGCAATACTCCTATCCTACCTGTACAGAAAAGCTCTGGGGCCTGTCATCTTGTACAGGACCTACGCCTCATCAATGAGGCAGTAGTCCCTGCCTTTCCAGTTGTTCCTAATCTATATACATTCTTCTCGCGTGTTCCCCCTGACACCACCCATTTCACTGTCCTTGACCTGAAGGATGCCTTCTTTACCATCCCTCTACACCCAGACTGCCACTTTCTGTTTGCTTTTACATT